GTTCACTCAGGAAGAAGTGGTTTGAGCGTAGGGTGTCAATAACCGTCTTAACGTGCCGGACATGGTCCTCAGGTGAGTCCGAATATATTACTATGTCGTCTAAATAGACGTCCATGAATATTCCTAGGTGGGGACCGAAGATATGGTTCATTAGCGATTGGTAAGTGGCACCCGCGTTGCAATCTCCTATTTGCATGACATGACTGATCATTGTCCTGTCAGGTGTCGCAAATAAGGACTTATGCACGTCGGAGGGTACGATACGGATCTGCTCGTACGCGTCCTTACCATCAAGAAGGGAACGATAGGGATGCGACGCGACATTGCGCAATATGGTATCTATGTCCGGGAGTGGTGATGCGAGTTTCCGCGTGTTCGTGTTGCGTTGTCTAGTGTCGAGAACGGTACGTAAACGGAGTTCATCGTCCTTGGAAGTCTTCTTCATCATGATCATAGGTACAGCGTTAGTACCGCTAAAGAACTCCCACCTACCCGTTCTGATGTAGTCGTCTCGTTTGGCCCTCCAGAGCGGCCGCAAGGCCTCTGGGCACTTAGACTGACGCCAAGAATAGACTTGGTCTTCGTTGATGAGGGGTATAACGTGGTTTATCACGCGCAGCGGAGGTAATGGTGTCTCAATTGCCTCCTTACAAATGTCTTTGGCGTACTCATGAAGTTCTTTCGTGTAGGACTCAATCTGATCTGAGGACAGGCTCATCCCCTTTAGCTCGAGGACCTGGGTCTGCGAGCCGTGGATCGGTAACGGCTCAAGGCTACGGATCTTAATCTCCGGGGGATTGAATCCCAGCAACACTTGATGCTGGAATAGACAGAAAGTCTGGGAATCCGAATTTCCGGCAGTCTCCGTCCGGCTGCGTGCGGGTCTGTCCGGATCCGTCTGTGCACAACTTGTCAGTTCTTAACGTCGCATCACACAATGAGCTCATTTTTACGACTCGTTACTGTCTCAAACACAATATTAAGTTAGCAATATACCAGCCTTGCCTTGTCGGGTTACAGCTTTGTGTAGTTATAGATATGGTTTGGGCATTTGCCTGTCCTCCTCGTGCACCGGGCTGGCCGGCTTTCTTCCGCTACACTTTTGTGCTCACCTACTACCAATAACTGGCTTTCTCATCCTCCATCAAAGGTGCTACATTTATGTGCTTGCCTGCCAATTGCAATGGACTCAACTGTGAACCTTGCAGATTTGTTGCAGATTCTAAACTGTTACATATTTGTACTCGTGACTCACGAGGGTATCTCTGAAATAGTTCGGACCACATCTGTGCACTGCGCTGCAGTTCGGATGTTCGTGTAATGTATATATTAGTGTCATACTCCTTTGTTGCTCCTTTGCATACAAATTATAGTGCCGGACAGATCCAGCCGGACTCGGCCGGACGGACCCGGAAATTCGAATTCCTAGATGCCCTCGGAATAGAAACGGCATCCCGAGGATGACGTCGTAAGACTCGAGGTTAGCGATGTCAAAGGTACGTGGACCCTTAATGTCTTGATATGTTAACTCAACACGGGTAGTAGCCTTCACGGAACTCCTGGATCCGGACACAGCGAGTTGCAGGGGAATGGGCTTATCAAGTAAGTCATATTTCAATTTAAGTTGATCAACTACAGTACTTGACACGAAGTCCGTTAGAGACCCGGAGTCCAGCAGTGCGCGACAGGGTTTTCCGTTCAATAGTACGACTATGACTAACGATCTAGGAAGGATCCTAGTGGAGTTCTTTGGACGCGCTGATTGGCGCTGGAGGGATTGCAGATCCGGTAAGTCAGCTTTCGTACGAGAGGTCATCCCACAGAAGAGCTCACCTCCAACGTCAGGTTCGTCCTCCTCGCTGGACTCGCAACTAAGCAGTCCAGGGAAGTTGTCCTCCTCATCATCGCTGCTTTCGCAGTCAGTAGTGGCCCAGGAGGACTCATCATCATCTTCGTTGTCGTTCGCGGGTGTTTCGGGTGCAGGAGATGTCTGGCCGAACCAGGTGGGTTTGAAAGATGTCTTCGTTCTCACGAGGTACTGATAGTTATGTAGCTTCATCTCAGTCAGCCACGAAGTGATGTCGAAGCCGGGATCTCTCAGTTGTGAGTAATAGACGATATACTCATCATAGTTATGTTTATCTGACAATAAGTACGTGTCAGGGCCACCCCAGTTGGTGAGGCAGAAGCGATCCGGTCCAAACGGGTCGTACAGCGGGTCAGAGAGTTCGTCAGTGGGGAATGGTACTGCCAATTTTAGAGTGGTTATTGCTCGGTGCACGACCAGCAGATGTTCACTGATTCCAGGCTCAGCTAACGAGTTTGCAGACTTAGGTATGTCTATGGCAAATCCATACAGTCCTTGCGCGTTACCCTCGTTGATAGCGGCCGATCGGATGTCTGCGGAGGTGATTCCAACAGCGTTGGACCTGAGGGTGCCGACCCTGGGTGAGTTGTGAGGAGGCAGACGATGTCTCTTGGGACAATCTTTAGCTAAGTGGCCTGTTTGTTCGCACTCGAAACACTGATTCAAGTCTCTGAGTTTGCGTATAGTATCAGCGCTTTTGCCAGTCTGAGGACCTCTGTGGGGCTTGCGAGACCGTCTCTCTGGTCCAGGGCGCCTATCTCTATGATGGCCTCTGGGCTGGGATTGGTTTACAGCGTTGGCAGAGAGTGAGTGGGTTCGGTGCCTCCTATCACGCCTTCTATGATGTTGGTCCTGCCTGGTGCTGTGAGCACCTTGGGCTGCAAGGCCGGCAGCTAGGGTCGGTGTCAATGCTAAAAGTACGCTAGGATCTTTGGCGTTTTCTAGGAACGCTCTCTCGGTGCGGAGAGCCTTTCTCTCAATCGTGTCCATACTGACGGTGTTTGGGTCGTATCCTTTATCTACTAACGAAGCTTTGATATATGGTTTACAGTTCATCCAGAACTGTCGAACAAGTTCCCTCTCGTCCACGTCGCCCGTCGTATCGGCTATGTTTCGGAGGCGACGGATGTAGTCTTGCACACTCTGTTTTCCCTCCTGGCGACACTCGAGGAATCGTTGACGCTGCATCATTCTGAAGTCCGTTGGGAAGGAATAATCAAATAATTGCTCGAAGAAATCGGTAAGTGTGTATTTCTTTTTAAGATCTAGGACATCGCGCTCATAGAATCGATAGGCGTTGCCTCCCAAGTACTTTCCGACCATACTGATTGTTTGCTTGGTTGATAGCCTGGCCCGGTCCCGCCAGTCTCGTACTTCGCGGACCCACTTCTTAAAAGTGGACGCATTGGCTTCCCCATTGTAAGTAAAAGGTGGTTCGTGCTTTAAGAAACCTTGCTGATATTTCAGAAGGTTCATATGGGATCTATGCTTGCGCTGGGCTGTTCTCTTTAGTCGTTTGGTATTGTCCGAGTCGCTACTATGGTCGGACTCTGGCTCCAAGTGCAGTAGTTTCGAGTCGGACTCATCCGAGGCGTCTTCCTCAGACACGGTTCTGGTAATAAATGCAGGTGCTGTCCTCAATTTCCTTTTGTCTTTGTGCGTGTGCTTATTGAGAGAAGATGACATCAATTTCTTCTTGTCCCTGCTGGTGCGTCTTGTGTCCTCACCAGAGGATTCAGTAGACGAACGCTCATCATCAGATCCTGATTCTGGCGAGGGTTCAGAAGAGTCGGGGTCGCTTGGATTGCCTCCAACTATGGCTCGTTTGACCGAACTTTTATCGGGGAGGAGTGATGATGCCCTCCGGAATCTGGTGTTATCTTTGACGGGTTTGTCACTAACAGGCTCCCTTATGCTTGGTGGGTCACTGTCTATCACCGTCGCGCGTTGTCCCTCATTCACTTCTGCAGTGTTTTGTGCTGGGGGACTTGTAACAAGGAGTGTGCTCTCTTGGGGTGGGCCAGGGTTAGGTACACGTTGTGCCTCCCGGATCAGTTGCTGCGCCATTTCCTCCCTGGTCTGTGCCTCGATTACTAGTCTTTCAAGTTCCTTGACTCGGTCTAGCAAGTCGCTGACTTCCTCACACTTTTCCGCATAATCTTGTTTTGCAGCTTTTCGAAAACCTTTTAGGGCGAAGTTTTGGATCCTGATGGATCCTGCCCTGTTGTTGTCATCCCACAGTCGACGAAGTGACTCGTCCGACTCGTTTGATCCGGGACGATTGAGCTCCGCAACGTCCTCATCGAATTCTGTCCAGTCACGAAGGTGACTAGTTAGTGTGCTGAGCTTATGTAGGTCGTTTTCTTTGTTTTTCTCGGAGTGATCCTCATTAATTTCAGGCTTACTCTCGCTGGTAGTTGTGCTAGGTCTTAGTACCGGGAATTCAGGTACGTCCCCTAGTTCCTCGTCATCGGTCACCTCTGACCAATCAAAGACTGCTTGCAGGCGTGGTATGTTATTACTATCAGGTGATGTAAAGGTACGTAGTCGACCTATTATGGGACCGCCAGTGGGTATTTCGATGACTGGTGCAAATGGGTCCTCATCGCCTCGAGCGATATGGGTTGTAGCGGCACCTGCGTCGTTTGATGACGGGGCTCTGCTCTGGGCGGGGCTGCTCACAGCACGCTTCGCCTGGGTGGACTCTAGGTCCACCTCGTTCAGGTCGCGAGGACCGAACTTGGAGGGAGGTTTAGCCATTGGGCCGCCATTCCCTTCGTCTCCAGAAACAGGGCTACTGTTTCGAGACTTCGCGCCGTCTTGCTCGTGGGCGCGGCCATCAACGCTCAGGTTCCTTGTGGAACGTGGGGAGGCAATTTCTAGTGCACTAGTAGGCATTTTTTCTTTTTCTTTTCTTGACGATATCGTTCGGGTAGGGATAGATTTGGTGTTTTAACAAGAGTCGAAGTTTGGAGGTTGATCAGGCCTCTTAGACAACGACTATAGTAGGAATAGATTTTAGATTTGAAGGCAGTTAAAAATATGTGGCGTTTATGAAACGTTCACACTAGAGAGTCGATAGGTTTGAATCGTCTTAAGGTTCGAACAGGGTAACTGTCCTAACTAAGTGTTATTCAAGGGGGGGTGAAAATCAACTACCCTACAAGTAGAAACGCGATGGCTTATATACTGAAGGGTAAGAAAGTCAGGGACTAAAGGAGAAAGAAACTAAATGAGTAACTAGAGAGAATGATAAAGCTAATATTTGGTTGCCATCGTCGACGTATCGTCGTCGGCTTTTGACGAGCGTTACAAGTTCACACCCGAATTATTGAACGTGACTTGGCCTTTTCCTCCGATGAAGCCAGGAAGCGATATCGACACTTCCCAAGTCGACGGGAATGCTTCCCCGGAAATAAAACACAGGATGCTCCGCGCTCTGCAATCTATGCGACGGTCAACTGGCAAGCCCTCTAGCAGTTTCGAAAACAAGATTGCGTCCCGGATGCAACTAACAGAGGCATCTATATTGTCAAAGACCGAGGAACCGGAGAAATTTGAAGGTCGTGTCGTTGTCCAGGTGATTGTGGACGAAGGTACTTTTCGTTTCTCATATTCGCTGTGCTTATTGACAGGTTCTCAGAATTGCTCAATGTCGATGAAAACATCCACGGTGGATGTACGGCCATGATAATTGACATGCATGTTTTTTCTCCTCCTGTTTGCCTAGAACTAATATAGATGCGTAGTTGCTCGACAATGCCCATTTACGTCCTTGGGGCCTCGACAAGCGGTCATGGCGAATTTGGCGTATCACAGTCTTTGAACATTGTGTACCATTCACCAGCATTGTTGTACGTTCAAATATGATACTAGTCACTTTCTGTTGAATCATCGTGTCAGGGGAGACAAGCTACGCGTTGTGAGCACAACACTCGCTCTTGGCAGCCGGGCACTCTCAAGTCGTTGTGAAGTGAGATTCTGGCAATTTCAGTCCCTTGCTTTATCAGCTCATAACTAGCTTCCAAGGTATGGAATGTTACGCGACACCGATTGGCAGCATCAGCTGTGCACGTTAAGATGGTTCCATCTAAACCTAAGGCATCTGAATCTGCCAAACTCTGACCTGGGTGCGGTCACAAGTCTAGGTAACATGTTGATTTACACATACCACAATCATTATATGGCTGTTTTGAAAGTAGTCCTCTGGCCTGCTCGTATTCTGCATGGATTCTAGCACTCTGTTCATTTATAAGCTAATCTCGCGTAACCTTAGTTTCCTCAATTACACTGGCAGTGGCTAATCGAACGACTCAGGGAAAATCTTCGGGTAACGGGCTGCGGTCACGTGACTGTTTGAAGGCGTTTTTCTTCACCGTTTTTGTGGTGGAAAATTCTGGGTATGTTGTAAAGACGGGGTGCATCATGCCTGACGTGTTAGGATTCCGAAATAGATCGGCTCTTTATCTACTAACATATTACCATTCGATAATCAGGCCTCAGGGTCCAACTGTCGGAGGAAGGTACGAAGCCTTTTCTCCTTTTCTATGTATGATCGTCTTTATTGTTCTACTCATCGAACTTGCGGTCTTTGCGCACAGCATTTTCTGCAGTTAAGCATCTGGCCTCATCGCGAAACATTCCACCGAGACATACTACTAGCACGACGGCGCTGCCATTGGCAGTCTGCACATCCCCTGTGAGGTAAAAGCCTGCATTCGGCTTTCATTCAAAGTGAATTGATATGGTGGTTATTTTAGTCGTTTATCCCGAACTGACGTTCTGAGCCAAAATACTGAACTGAATTCCCCTCGGAGCTGAGCAAAGCTAAGTAGTTCGATTTTCCATTTGTTTTTGTTATCTGCAACTGATACCGAAGCGGGTAGCCCTATTACCCTACAACTCTACTCCATTCCAAACTTTAATAATCCTACTCTGAAACACCGGATCAGTAAGTAAACGAGGTATGTGTCGGCAGAACAAGTCAAGACCTCAATCACCGCTCACTAAGTATATTCTCTAGTCATTTATAAGAAATGGCCTATTACTTGTTATCTGACTCTGTCGGACCTTTTTCAGTGCACCCCCGTGATGGTCTGCACCTACACAATCGCCCACTTTGCCTCTACTCACTCATTAACACTCCTTCCTTTCTCAATTGAAGTCCCGGTCTAGAAAGTCCCCTCGGTCCACGTTTCCGTCGGATTTCCAAGTTCAGGGAACTTGGCTTTAACAGCATGGCTGGGAGCGATCCTCGACTTGATGGTCCAAACTCGATTGAATGGCCAGCGCTTGATTCCATGGCTGACTGTATCCCATTGGCTGGACTGTATCCTACTGTCGAATTTGATTGTCGGATCCCCTGCTCTAGAATGTTTAATGAGAGACGCCTCGTCAAACATGCGTCATTACTTGAGATCAATTGTCACAACATAAATTATAATTCATGCGACTAACACCAAATACAGATCGTTATGATAATCCGAGTCGGTCGTAGAGGAAAATGGTATGTATAGATATACGATGATATATCTTGGTTCTAAACCAGTGGGATACACTGAATAAATAGGGGTGTCTGCACTTTTGTTGCTCCGAGCCAACGCGAGTGTCGCCAAGTTCATGCAAACATGCTTCAAGTTGGTCAAAGAGGAGAGGATACCCATACTTATGTGTATATACGCGACGAACTATATATCATATTGTGACAGATTGCAGTACTCTACTTATTGTCTACATTATTGTATATAGCTTCCTTCGGTTCAGAATTTAGCAACAACCCCTCCTACAGACGCTAACGTTCCCGCCAGCTTCCTTCTCACCCACTCCGCTCATCGACCGAGAGCTATCCGGGGGTCGGGACACGCGCTTAGTCATCCTCCATAAAGTACATGTATGATCTAACAGCCTATGGTTAGGGCATGCCACCACTATCGGTTGCCATTCATTTGTCCGACCACTCACTTGGCCAATTGCAATTGTAAATAATGTAAGTGTGCTGGAAGCAGATACTTGATTTACATAATAACAGAACTTCTTGTTGGTGCTCAGTGTTGGAGACCAACGACTGAGGTACGCAAACACGATGGGGGTGAAGTACTTATGTAGAATAGGAACGGAGGTTGCCCCAATATCCCAATGACTATGTTAATGGGTCCCAACACTCCTGTAACGGGCGACAGGCTCTCTGGTCACTTTTAATTAGATGCACTTGCCACTCGACGCTCCGAGATTCCTGACATACATTATGTGTCAACGGATTCACCACAAGCACTGGCATGACCGTGGAAGCAACCAAAGGCTTCGTTTTTCCCCAAACACCTGAGGTATGTCATTCAACACAAGTCGGTCACGGTCTTTCGTGCATTAAGCTTTTGCCATTGTAGGACCCTAATCAAGTTTCATACCTTCTGGAACTCCGATGAGGTCGTACCAGATAAGCTAGAATGGATGCTGACCTGCCTCGAGTTTTTATGTGGCGGACATCTTATGCAATTGTGATTACAGTTCCGATTGGTAAACAGGGCTCCTAGAGGCAAGCTGGCACCCCAGCTTGAGTACATTTAGCAGCTGATATGCTAGCATAGGAGATGCAGTGTCATGCTCAATTTTTAAAAATCCATTTTAAGCAGGAAAATTCACCTCCCCCCCCCAGTCAGTGACTTGACTCTTTCCTCCAGATGAAGCCAGAGAATAATATCGACACTTCCCAAATGAAAGGGAATGTTCCTCCGGAGGTAAAACTTGCATTGTTAAACTCTCTGGCGCAGCCGGGCCACATATCGCATTCGACTGGCAAGCCCTTCAGAGGTTTCAAAGCCGAGTTCGTGTCCCGGATGCAACTAACAGAGGCATCTGTATTATCGAAAGCAGAGGAGCCGGACAAACTCGAAGGACGTACCGTCTTCGAGGTGATTGTGGACGAAGGTGCCCTGGATTTCTGATATACGCTTTGCTCGCTGACATATCATGGGGTGCCCTTAGACATGTTTAACGAAGTTGGAACCATGCACGGCGGTTGTCTGGCCATGATAATTGAAATGCATGTTTCTTCTACTCAAGTTTATCTGGAGCTAATATGCATGCGCAGCTGCTCGCCAATGCCCATTTATATTCTTAGGGCTTCGACTGGCGCTTGTGGCCCATTCGGCGTACAACAGTCTTTGAATATTGTGTTCCACTCACCAGCAGTGCCGTACGTTCAAATGGCACATTGATTATTTTTTGCTGAACCATCAAGTCAGGGGCGACAAGCTACGCATCGTGTGCACGACACTTACCCTTGGTAGCAGAGCGCGCTCGGGTCGTTGTGAGGTGAGATTCTGAGTTCTCGTCGCCTTATTAATATTAGCTTATGTTTGGCTTCGACAGGTATGGAATGTAACGCGACACCGATTAGTCGCATCAGCTGTATACATCAACATGGTTCCATCTGAATCGTCCAAACTCTGACCTTTTGTGCATGTCAGTCATGTTGATTCCTTACACGCACCATAATCACCATCATACACGACTACTTGGAATTTAAAGTCCACTTATTCCATGTACAATAATGTAGTAATCCGCATGATGTGATACTCAAGGGGTATCCAGAGAAAATAACCCAAACGTATAAATGAGTGTTATCATGATATATGTAGCGCAAATGAATGTTTGAAGATCAAGTCCACGATCTCGAGTGATAAGCAGCCCAAGTGAATTCATCTCTTCCAAGTGTTTATATCGGGGTTCATGAAAGGACCAGTCTGAATTGTCCCTGCGCCAATAGATCTCAATATGTCCATCCTCCTGTCCTCCCATGCCTTGAGTGCTTTGAGAAGCTGTAATATTTTATCGCGTTTCCCTTGTCGGACGTCGTTGATGCTTACGCTGCCCATTTTTACGTCGTTGTCAAGGAGGAAGTCAAACAGGCGGAATAGCCCATCCAGCTTGTCATCGCCGGGGCCAGACGGGAATGCTGAGTCTAGCACGGGGGGTGAGGGTGATTTCCCTAAGACTGATTCCGAGAGACGAAGAAGGGCAAGACCGCTGAAAAGATGGGTAGTGGGATCGTAATTTTGCAACGCAGCTGGCAAGTGTGAATTAGCCCATTCAACTAGACCCGCGTCAGAAGAGTTCAGCTGTACAAGGTTCATAAGGTCAGTATCACAACGCACGGAGAAGGCAGTGGACAAACCGCGGTAGTTGGTGAAGGGCGTGCCTCTCTAGTCGGGCGGGGAGGAGCTTGGTTTACTATAGATGATGGTTTGGATTGGTCTTCAGACTGTTCTGAAATAGATTGCTGAATCAAGAAGGAATCAAGACGCGTTCGTTCGCTATCTTGTGCGTCCGACGATGGTAAACCCATCAGAACGCGAGCATCACGAGAAGATAGCTGATTTGGATTCTCGCGGCGCAATGCCTTTTGTGTCGCATCGCGAGCGGTAGGAGACGGTGGCCGGGGGGCGGGGTTCATCGCCTGGGCGACTGTTAGAGGGATAGTGGGAATGTTGACAGAAGAAACAACAGGCTCTGTTTAATAGAATGTTAGATAAGCGACCGAAGATGATGGCTCAGACCTACTCGAGTAGTCTCTGCCAATGGTGGCCTTCATGATCGCTTTCATCCACTCGCGTACCACGATTTGCTCATCAGAGCTGAAGTAATGTGTCTTGTCAGTGTCGTGCACTATCCTGAAGCCATAACGTCCTGGATCGACGTTCTCGTCCGCAATAACCTTGTATCCGACGATATTGATGTAGCCCTTGATTTTCACCTCCTGAACAACGTGCATCAGTGTATGACTTCATGATTAAGTAGGCTTTCACCCCACCATCTTAGTGTCGCTCCGCAGGATGTACAGATGTGGGCCCTTGATAACGAAGTACCGCACCTTCCAGGCATTGTAGTGGTCGCCTTTCTTGCGCATCCATCCTTGGTGATCAGGGATGCCGATCTGGTCAATGATACTCTTTCCTGGTTTGAACGTAGGACCTTGAGACTGGCTCTCGGGACCATCGTGCTTTTTCAGTACCGTCGGGGACTCTTTCTCTTTCAGCGTTTGACTATCCGCATCCTTGCCTCTCAGCTTTTCAAGTGTCTTCTCCTTTTCCCTCAACTTTCTCTTCTCCTCCAGAGAATCGCTGTGCGAGGGATTGCGAAGAGTGCTGGAAAGCGATCCGTCTGACGTTGATGGGCGAGCCAATGACTTCTTGCTGCTGCCGTACAGCCGGGAAAGATTGAGACTCGAAGGTTTCTCCATTGGGCTTTCGTTGGCAATCAACGACCTGTTTTGAAGTGAGTGGTTGAGCAAAGTATATAAAAGCTCAATGCGTACGGACTGATCCTTGGGGGAGGCTTCCTGGCCCTCCCAAGGGAAGTAGAGAAAGTGCTGCCGAACAAACTATGCCGCTCTGTGCCTTTCGTCGTACCGTCCCGCTTATTCCGGCTATGCTTGCTACCAATACTGGAATCGTCCAGCAGCTCCCGTTTCCGTGATGATCTGGGTGGTGTTACCGCCAACGCCAAGGGCACTGAGGTCGGGAGTGCGGTGGTAGAATTGTTATTAGAATTGGAGGAAGTGTCGCCCTTCTCCTTTGCGGTAGACGTGGACTCTGTGGAACGGCTAAAGAGGTGCCGGCATTGCTTGGTGGCAGATGGTACAATTTCTCCCTGCCGAAAAGGTTTAATTGGTGCTACTTACAGTAGAAAGATACGAAATCACCTCGCTCAAGGCACCGCGATCATCGTCTTGCAACTCTTCAGGCTTGCGTGCGTCCTCTCGAGATCGTTTGTTCAAGGCACCATCACTAGGTGATAATACAAGTTGACCCGACGCCGTACGCTAATGATGCGTAAGCAATAGAAACAACAGTAGAAGATGAAATCCTAACCTTGTGTCCGTTACCGTTCGGTGGGACCCCGAGGCCAAGACCCACCGCACTAGACGAGACATGATTGTCCAGCGAGCCTCCAATGATACTAGCACCAGTGCTCGATAAACTAGATACTCTTTCTGCGAATTGGCTCATGTCTGCAGCTGGACTCTCAGTGGTGCACATCGAACCAAACGTCGCTGAGTTCGGTGCAGTAAGAGCTGAGCTCACGGTTGTTGCGAACATGGGGCTGTTCAGAGACTGATGGGTTGAGCCAGAACGCGAATGTGTGTAGGAGTATGAATGGGAGTGCGACAATGACTGAGGATGTTGTGGCGACTGGACATCTGGGAAGATGATTGATAGAGGTCGTCGTAGTTCGGCAATAGCGTTGGCAATGCGCATACGCTTCCCAAATGCGACAATGCCAATTTCAGCCTTGAGGAGGTTAATGTCAAGCTCTAGTAGAACATCGCCTGTGATCTCTTGTTCTAAGGGGTACGAGATCAGTTCAAGTTATACAACAAAAAGCCGAAATTTACCTATGAACTTATCGCAGATGTCCTGGCCAAAACTCTTAGACTTTAGCCAGTCAACAACTTCTTCAACGCTCCACTCCGATGGAGAAACAGACTTCATCAGACTACTTTCCCGTGTGAGTTCAGGCGACATCTGTGGCATGGAAGTGGTAGAGACTTGACCGCTGGATGCAACACTAAGGTGCTTGGACGTCGGTGGTGGGCTCACTACACGTGGGATGGGGGAGGAAGCAGCATTGGAAACTGGGCGAATCACAGGCGTGGGAGCAGCGTGGGTGGTGGGTTGACTGGGTTCCGGGGAAGCAGGTAACTGTATGGAGGATGGCTCGACGGCAAGAACAGGTGCAGGTGCGAATATGTTAACCATAGGAGATACGGGAGCGGACCGAGATTGAGATCCGTTGCGTTCACGACCAGTAGGCGCTGGGGAGATTGCGCGAGAGGTTGAGGTAACAGAAAATGTCGTCTTATGAACTTTGGCTGTTTGTTCACCATCATTGGATAAAAGGGATGGCAAAGCTTGCAATGGGAGTGTCATAGGTGAAGCCATACTCAAGTTCCTCCTCCTGCGATTCAGGGTTACTGCGCCATCGTTGTCATTATCTTCCTCATCTTCCTCAGGGATATGGGGATGATCACGTGCCACCCGGCGTACATTCTGAAATGTGTCGTCCACCTCTTCTGCCTCACTCTCATCACTCATTTCGATGTCTATCGGAGGAGCGAGCGAGCGGGTATCCACTCCTGCAGCGGCCTTCGCTTCCACGACTTTACGTGCCTGTTCTGCAAGCTTGTCTCGAGCACTACGGTGCCAGTCCTCTCCATCCTCCCGTAAGCTGGAATCTCCGTCGGTTTCTGTATCCGTTTCGCGATCTGTGTCTCCGTGCCGAGTGCTAGCGAAGCTGAAGCTGCGAGTTCCATCCCGATCATGTCGGCCAAGCTGCTCGATGGCCTTCTGGACGTCTGTCATAGTAGCATGCATAACTTCCTCCTGATGTGCTGAAGGTGGTTCGCCAAGGGCGACACCAATGTTGGACTCAGCGTCGCTACCGACGAATGAAGCTGCCTCTTCATCAACTGTGTGTAATACGTCGGGAGGCTCATTTATGGAAGGGCCAGCGGTGGATTCTGGTGAAGATGCACGTGGAGGGGCGGGGGCAGCCGGTGTGGTATAGCTTTTGGGAAACAGGCCGATTTTACCTGCAAGATTGCGTCCCTGGTAATAAAGTGCGTGCATGAGTTAATATCATGGAACGAAACAACAAATGCAATTGAATTCGACAGAGCGTAGGGCATGGCGGAGTTTATGTGGGCTGAAACTGCGCTGCAGAGTTGTGCATGCCTACATACACACGGTGCGCAAGGTGAAAGAGTCAGGTAGTACCCACCTGCCACCAGCCATCGCTGTATTGATCATCTCTCTCTATGACCTCGATGGGCTCACCCGCACGGAAGTCAACTTCGTCCTCGTTTTCGGGCTGAAAGTCGTGAAGTGCATACACATAGTCTGGCATTGTACCGATAGATTTCGTTGCAGGCGAACGATCTGCTGCCGAAAATGATAGTCAAAAGGCTCCTGAAGTAATGCGTATCTATGAATTAGCGAGAGTTAGCGGAATACGTAGCAGGGACGGACGGCGGAAATATGACACCTGTCAATTGGAAAGGTCAGTAGGTGGTAGTATAGATGAGAGAGTTGTGGCAAGTTGTGCTGAGTGACCCGATACCACGACCCGTTCGTTGAGATTCAACGAGCCCGTCAACGTTAACCTCGATGAGAACAACTACCAGCAGTGCTAGTACTTGCGAATACAACCCGAACCGGCTCACACCTGGCTATGATGACTCAGCAATAATATAGTTCAACCGTCATTAGTATAGTTCAGTGTGTCATATGGCATCATCCAAGAAGCTACAAGTTGGCCATGTCAGACTATCCAATACTATCTCGACAGCAGGCATGTAATTATTCAGTGTTGCAGCTTAAATAAGAGCGTAAAGTTTCCAGTGGTTGGTTGAGTCAGTTTCCGATTAACTCCCATGGTCACTTTTGCTATCAAAATGGCATCTAGTAAGCGCTTGAGTAGGACTGCTTCTTCTGCTGCCACAATGGCTACCAAGCGCTTGAGTAGGTCTTGATTGTTTTAGCCATGCTCAATGTATCCTGATGATATTCCATCAGCATTCGTAACTGGAAACCATAATAAATTGAAGGAGACCAAGCATATTTTATCTCAAGGAACCCCAATAGAATTAGATTCGCAAGACCTAGATAGCAAGTTTTTCTGATCAAATGCTTATTCACCCGCTGATTAAACACCCAAGTACCCGAACTGCAGGGCACCACCCAAGAAGTCGCCATAGCAAAATGCCGTCGTGCAGCTGAGCTGGTCAGTCACTCCTTGAATCTGAATTTATAGATCTGCCTCCCCACTACAATGCTTATACCTTCTGGCAGATGGGGAAGCCATGCATAACGGAGGACACCGCATTGTGCTTCGTAGCATATAACGGGCTACCTGGCCCATACATCAAGCACTTTATGAAAACACTCGGTCACGAAGGTCGGTGGGTGCAGGGGCATTCTGCTAAACAAGACTTTCTGATGTGTCACCTGAGTAGGCTTGAATAATATGCTCGTAGGATTTCCGACGAAAGACGCGTATGCACTCTGTACTTTCGCATACAGCGCTGGTCCGGGCACTGAGCCGATCCTCTTCGAGGGCCGCACAGACGGCACCATCGTCCCTGCCAGAGGACCAGGCAATTTCGGGTGGGACCCCATCTTCCAACCAAAAGGTTTTGATCAAACGTGAGGCTCTCTCGTTTTTTTTGCTCCGTTGTTCAGATACTGAAATTGGGACGAAGCTACGCCGAAATGAGCAAGGAACAGAAGAATGTCATTTCTCACCGATACCATGCGCTGGCTAAACTCAGGGTATATTTGGCAACCCTCAACGCTGAAAACAACTTCTAGAAAGCTGCTTCTTTGCAGGGTGGTCGGAATCCAATATACAATTGGCTGTGCGATAAGATATATCTTACATACATCTGGAGTTCTTAGATCCGAATCCCTGACTTGCAGTAAAAATGATGTACATTTTACTTCAATTATCACTTCATGGGCGCAAATTTAATAGGGTCCATGTCATTACAGGTCAGCGTGTTCTTACATAGCTTCACATGTCCAAGGCGCCGGCCAGGGCCAAAAACTGTGTCATTACGGTGTTGGTAGACACACGCTCCGCGATTGCATTCAACTCCGGTTCGAACAGTTTCTTATCTCCCTTCCAATTTATCTTGGTCGGGCGAGTCATTTTTGTGAGATCAACGGACCGTAGAACATAAATTTTGTAAGTAGTATGTACTATGCACCTGCTTATAATCTACGATACGACTTGCGAAGGCTGTATACACATTTCAAGGTCGTGTATATACATTGTACGTAGAGTTTGTGCGATCTATTGCCACTAGTGACTATCATGAGGCTGGGTGACTTGTGTAATGATAATAAGGTTTCTGATCCGGATTCCCGACTCCCGATTTCCGATACAACTTTTTTGAGTGATCGAGCAACAAGCCGAGCACACACGCTTCACATCATCAGCCCCCTAGTGGTTCTGACACCACGAGGAAGAATCCATTTTACTTCCCAATTATTTCACTGGACACAAGCTTCTATCCAATAGCAACACGAGAAATCCTGGCGAATATTCCAGATCCATGTCCATCCACACTCCAAGAAAGAGGGCCAGGATCCGTCTGGATGACGACGTATCCTCCGTAAAAACGCGCCCAGCGAACACCCTACAAAAACAGCGCGAGCAACTTCCAATAGCACGAGGTAACTGGCATATTCATCTATCATGCAAAGTTCTGCTCAGCATCTTTGGCAGGACGGGAAGCTCTGATCCGCGAAATACAGCAAAATGACACAACGATTTTACTAGGAGAGACAGGGTCAGGAAAAACCACTCGTGCGTCTGCTAGTCATCATACAACTGCTATTGCGCCTCATGACTCTATCTTAAGTACAGAAGTCCCTCAATACATCCTCGAATCGGGCATCGCAGGCAAGGGCATGATTGCTGTCACCCAACCGCGTCGAGTAGCAGCAACGTCTCTCGCCGCTCGCGTAGCAGAAGAGAAAAATGTCTCTGTCGGTGGACTTGTTGGATATTCCGTGAGGTTCGACGAGGCTTCTAGCTCCGACACCCGCATAAAATATGTCAGTGACGGTATGCTCGTGCGGGAGCTACTGTCGGATCAGTTGCTGTCGAAATACAGCGTTATAGTCGTAGACGAAGCGCACGAACGAACCCTTCGGACGGATTTCCTCATAGCAAACCTGAAAACGATACAGGCCGCTAGAAATAGCGCGGGCGATGTCAGTAGGAAGGGAAAGGGTCCTGCGTCAGCCCTTAACCCGTTAAAGCTCATTATCATGAGTGCAACACTTGATGCCGAAAAGTTCAGCAAGTTCTATAACAAGTTGGTGCATTACTGCGCATGTGATGCACGTGCTTATGGCAATTTCAGTGCTCGAATACTCTATGTCAAGGGTCGGCAACACCCTGTCCAGATATTCCACACATCTGTCAGCCAGACGGATTATGTTGATGCTGCTCTACGGACGTTCTTCCAAATCCATACTGATAGACCTCCAGGAGACGTCCTTATATTTCTTCCAGGTCAGTGTGTTAATTTTCCGGAATCATGCTAACTTCTGATATCGTATAGGTCAAGAGGATATCGAAAGTTTAGACAAATCGATAAAAATGTATGCTCGTAGACTTCCTGAGGAGCGTATGACTGTACGACATTATTACGTTTTGATGACTCTCGTTCTCACCGGTCTTCATCTAGGTTCTAACATGCCCAATGTATGCTGCCTTGCCGCCTGCGCAGCAGGCTAGAATATTTTCGTCCGCCCCTACAAACGCTCGGAAATGTATTCTTGCTACTAACATCGCCGAGACATCCATCACGATACCTGGAATAAAATACGTAATCGATACCGGCAAGTGTAAGGAAAAAAGATATTTGTCAAAGGATACAGGTGGAGGTAATGGGGGTGACTGTCCATTTGAGTTCACAACTGACCGTTTCGGTAGGGTTTGATACCCTGTTAACTCGAGATATCACAAAGTCGTCTGCTATGCAGCGGGCTGGTCGCGCCGGTCGCGAAGTATGCCCTGAACCTTGTCTCTCTTGATACCTCTAACGCGAAGTAGGGTCCAGGGTTTTGTTTCCGCCTGTACACAGAAGATGCATTCAATTCTATGGCACTTTCCGCAGAGCCCGAGATTCGCCGATGCAGCTTAACCCAGAGCGTCTTACAATTGAAATGCCTCGGTCAAGACTTTGAAGCGGTCGATTTCATGGATCCTCCCGAGATTGGGTCAGGTACGACCCCCTGACATACCTCCATAACCAACCCTGACTTTTTTCAGTCATTTCCGCACTCAAAACTCTCTGGCTTCTTGGTGCGCTAGACAACTCCAAGACTCTAACCACATTGGGACGTCAAATGGCATCCTTCCCTGTGGAGCCGTACTTCGCGCGTATCATCCTCGCATCCAAAACCCACGGCTGCACCTCCGAGGTAATAGACATCGTGTCCCTTCTCTCATCCTCTTCTGCGCTCTTCCTCGATATATCCGACCAGCGCGATACCATTTCAGAAGTTCGAGTCAAGTTTCGTCATGCGAGTGGGGACCACATGACGATGCTTAATGCCCTCCGATCATACCAAGAGGTTGCCGCATCTGATAGCAAGGGTGCAAGAAAAGAATGGTGTCGCCAGCACTTTGTGAACGAAAGAACGTTCGTGGAGGCGACGAAGATTCGAGATCAGCTGAGACAGACATGCCAACGAGTTGGCATTGACTGGCATGCTTCTACAGTAGATAACGAGGAACCAGTGCTGAGATGTTTTGTCACTGGCCTCGTTCAGCAGTCGGCATTTTTACAGCCGGATGGAACGTACAAGCAAACGATGGGTCATTCTGTGAGTTTCACCCCTCGTTTTGTGAAATCAAAAGACCGAATGTGCACAAGGTCATTAAAATTCATCCGGGTTCCACGCTCTGCGACAGAAAAGTACCCGCTATTATCTACGATGAGCTTGTGAGTGGTCGTTTTTTTTTTCCTTTTGTTCACGATTAAAGTTTATGGCGCAGGTCTACACAAGCCAGATTTATGCGAGGGGTGTGTCCTCTGTTCCAAAGAGCTTCTTTAGTAACGTCACACCAGTAGCGAGGGAAGCATAGCGTAGGCACGTGTTCTCTCGTACACTCATATGATCTAGCACAGGGTGTAGCATACCGTACGTTTGAATTAGCCATTTTTATACATCTCAGAAGCACACACGTTTCCCATCCTAGATTCGTCCCAGACTCACACATCTGTCGAGACTCCGAGGGGCGCAACATTTCCAAGCCTTTTTCCAATAGACTTTACCGACTGGTTCTTGGATCAGCGCTGTGGGTAATACTTATACACCTGCTACTAT